AGCCAGGTGTGGTGGCAAGTACCTGCAGTCCCAGCTACTTGGAAAAGATGGAAGGATTGCTGGAGCCCAGGAGGTCAAGGCTGAGGTAAACTGTGATCATGCCACTTCATTCCAGCTTCAGCAACAGAGTAGATCCCCAACTGAAAACAAAACAAAACAAAACAAAATAGAACAAAACAAAACAAACAAGATAAATAACCCCTGCCACACATACACAAATTTAAAAATAATACACAGACCAATCATCTTTGTAAGAAATCTAGAATCTATTTAAGAGATTGGAACTCATAATACCAGTACAGAAGGAAAATGCAAGATATGTATTTGTAGAGACCTTACCCTGGCATAACGCAGTGTCACTGTGAGAAAACCAGCCATTTCTAATTTCCCCCAGGGGACGCAAAGTGTGGGAACATCCATCTAATACACTGAAATTTTAGGACACTGCCTGAGAGACAAGTTTCTGTCATGGTTGAATATAAACTCTGACAGCAATGGGGTCACTGAGAATAAAGGAGATCAACATAAACTAGATTCTGCAGTAACACAGGTACAATGCTAAGTAGAAATCCAGATCACAGCTTACCAGGATACCAGAGAGGCTGCAGAATAGCAGGCAGACAACGAGTGAGCTCCTGAGGAAAACTGGCAAAATCTCTCCCGTTAGATTACAAACAAAAACCCAGAGAAAACACATCCCCAGGAAAGGGTGAGTGGTCTCTAGAATGTCTAGTCAAGATGAACGGAGAACAACCTCCCCGAAGGGAGCCAGATAGCAAAAGCTGGTTAGTGAAATGCTAAGGTTCCAACAGAAGATAATAAGATACAAAGAAAAAGGAAACATGACCCATTCAAATAAATATTAAATCACCACAAACTGATACTGAAGAATCCGAGGTATATGAATTACCAGACAAATATATAAGACTGTGAAAGATGCTCAGAGAGACAGTATACATAGACAACTTCAGGAAATCAGAAAATGATGTATGAACAAAATGAAATTATCAACAAAAAGACAGAAACTATTAAGAAGAATCACAGAAATCCTAAACCTGAAAATACGCAACTAAATTGAAAAAGACACTACAGTGGTTTAAAAGCACACTGAACCAGGTACAAGAAATAAATAGTGAACAGACAAAAGAGGGAAAAATAGAAGAAAAATGAAAAAGGACAAAGGGAATTATGAAACACCTATCATGTGCATCACCTGCATGTCAAAGTAACAAAAAATAAATAAAACAGATAACTATCATCAAGTACATACCAACATACTAGTTAGCCTAGAAAAAATGAATAAATCTCTAGAAATATATAACCTAACAAGACTGAGTCAAGAAGAAATAAAAAATCTGTACCTAACTGCAAGTAGTAAGGAGATTTAGTATTTAAAAAAAAAACTCCAATTGGACAACACAGTGCAAAAAAATAAAATAAATAAAAAATTAGCCAGGTACAGTAACACGTCTATCGTCCCAGCGACTCAGGAGGCTGAGGTAGCTTAGGAAGACAAGGCTACAGTAAGCTATAACCATGCCACTGCACTCCAGCCTGGGTGACAGAGTGAGATCCTGACTCAAAAATAAACAAACAAAACTCCCAACAAAGAGACCAGGAACAGATGCGTAATTCATCCTCACTTCACAATTCTAGCAAACATTTAATGAAAAATTAACACTAATCCTTCTAAAACGGTTCCAAGTAATAAAAGAGGGAATCAAAAACACTCACTCTTGGACCCCACCATTGCTCTGATATCATTCAGGCAAACATATGACAAGAAAACAAAACTATACACTAATATCCTTTTTGAACATTGATGACAAAATCTTCAGATTGGCGCAGTGGCTCACGCCTGTAATCCTAGCACTTTAGGAGGCAGAAGTGAGAGGTTTACCTAAGTCCAGGTTTGAACCTAGGCAACTTGGTGAGACCTCATCTCTACAATAAATCAAAAAATTACTTCCCTCCAGGAAGTGCCACATGTTCAGCTATCCTGTCACTCTCTGAAGCCTGTCCTTTCGGGGTTTCATAGAATCTTAATAAAAAGGCAGGACTAATAAATCACTGCCATTGGTGATCAATTTTAATTTCATCTCTTCCACCTTTGGTACCTGTGGTTTCAACTTCTTGGAAGGCTGAGGCAGAAGGATTACCTGAGCTCAGCAATTGAGGCTGTAGTGGCAGTGAGTGTGCCACTGCACTCCAGCCTGGGAGACAGTAAGACTCCCACTCAAAAAAAAAGAAAAGAAGAAAAAGTCCTCAACAAAAATCTAGGAAATCAGATTGTACAGCACAGTAAAAGAGTAATAGACCATGATCAAGTGGGATACACACTGGGAAGACAAGGATGGTTCCACAGAATAAAGTGAGCCAATGTAGCATATCACAGTGACATAGTGAAGAACAAAAATCACATGATCATCTCAATTCATATTAAGAAAATTTGACAAAAGTCAACACTATACATGATAAAAAAAAATTAAACAAGCCAGGCTCGGTGGCTCAGCCTGTAATCCCGCTGAGGTGGAAGGCTGAGGTGAGTGAATTGCCTGAGCCCGTGGGTTCGAGACCCGCCTGGGCAGCGAGACCTCATCTCTACAATAAATCAAAAAATCAGCCGGGCGTGGTGCGCATGCCTGTAATTCTGGCTACTTGGAAGGCTGAGGCGGAAGGATCGCGGGAGCCCAGGAGGTCGAGGCTGCGGTGGGCGGGAGCGGCCACTGCACTCCAGTCTGGGCGACAGAGTGAGACTCCAATTCAGAAAAAAAAGAAAAATTAAACAAACGAAGAAGATAGTACAACTTCAGAACATTATATTTTGCAATGACTTCTTGGTTATAACAGCAAAAGAACAGGCAAGAGCAGCAAAAACAGATGACTGGAACCATATCCAAGTGAGAAACATTTGGACATAAAAAAATGTTATCAAAATAGGAAGAAAAAAAAACTCTGTTGTAAAAGAATAGCTAATATAATTCTGAAGAGAAAATAACGTTGTTTAACAAACTATATATGAACAATTTAAGATATATAGTAGAAATAACTTAAAATAAATCAACGAAAATATTTACAATATATACACAAAATACAAATTCATGAGAAATATTCTGTAGCAAACACAAACTTTCCACTATCAAACAATCAGAATATGCTTTGTGAGGGAGTTTTCCTACACACTAGCCAGCAGTCCGTTCTCAGAGAATACCAGCTGGGTATCCTCCAACTCAGTTCACATTCAACACTATCTACCTGGAAACAGTGTCAGATCATAAGAATGGATCCCCCACTTCTAGTGCCAATGGCAAGCCCAGATTGCTCAATCTGTGTTTCTAATGGACTGTTTAGAAAGTGCTATTTCCACAAACCCCTTATTGTGTTCAATTAAGTTATTGAAGTGACTCACAGACCTCAAACTCTTCACTTGCATTTACTCATTTTTATATAGGCTATGACAAAGGATACATTTGCAGAGACGTGTTTAGCAAGGTATGACAAAAGGGCTGAGAGCTTCAATGGCCTCACAGGGACACCACCCTCCAGGAACTTCCACATCTTCAGCTATCCTGTCAATCTCTGAAGTCTGTCCTTTCGGGTTTTCATAGAAGCTTGGATAAACAGGCAGGGTTAATGAAATCACTGCCATTGGTAATCAATTTAAATTTCATCCCTTGCCCCATTGGTAGTTGAGTGGAGCTGTAAATCCGAACCCTTCAATCCCGCCTAAAATTCCGGTGAAGCAATTTTTTTTTTTTGAATTGGAGTCTTACTTCATCATCTAGGCTGGAGTGCAGAGACACACTCACAACCAGCCCAGCGGTGACCTGCTGGGTTCCGGCGATCCTTCCATCTCAGCCTACAAGTAGTTAGAACTACAGATGTGCACTACCATGCCTGGCAAATTTTTTGATTAATTATAGAGTTGAGATCTCACCAAGTTGCCCGGGCTGGTCTCAAATCCATGGGTGCAGGCAATCCAAATGCCTTGGCCTCTCAAAGTCCTGTGATTATGGGCTGAGCCCCCAAGCCTGGTCCCAGTGAAGCTTCTAAGAGGCTGCCAGCTATCAGCCAACACATTTGAATACAAAAAATAAACACTCTCAGCAGGTGTGGTGGTTCAAGTCTATAATCCCAGCACCTTGGCAGGCCAAGGCAAGAGGACTGCTTGAGCCAAAGGGTTCGAGATCAGCCTGGACAACTTGGCAAGATCTCATCTCTACAACAAATCAAAAAAATTAGCTGGGTGTGGTGGCATACGCTTGTGTTTCCAGTTGCTTGGAAGGTTCAGATGGAAAGATCACCTACGTCTAGCAGGTCAAAGGTGCAGTGGCCATGAGTGAGCCACTGCACTCCAGCCTTGGTGACAGAGTGAGACTGCACTCAAAACAAAAAAAGTAAATAAATAAAACACACACATACACTCTGGAGATTCTGAAGACTTTTGGGGTTATGTTTCAGAAAACTGAGTCAAAGACCAGGTATATGTAAACTCTCAAACACTATGTCTAAATTAAGCATACCACTGTGTAATAAGGAACTCTGCGAGGTCTTCTAAACCAAGATGCTACAAACAAACAAACATACAACAAAAGACAAGAAACATGAAGGAAAGTTTTCTGTTTCAAACTAAAAACTATATTACCTAAAAAGAGACAACAGAGCATATAGAAAGAATTAAACCACAGAATAAATATAAAACAGCTCCTAAAATACATTTCCAGAAAACCAAGCAATGTATAAAAATCCATCTTTTTATATATGTGTCCATTCCATGAAGGTATAAAACTTGCTGAGACTCATAAGAAATACAATGAAAACAAAAGGGTTGTAATTTTCCAACTGTCAAAACAAACATGGTAATAACTTTTGTTTATTGAGTGGGAGATCTCACGTGGTGTTGGTGACAGATGGCACCTTTGCAGCTCAGGGTAGAGACAGGATACTGCCAGATCTATCAATACAGGATATGCCCCACCCTAGAAGAACCAGCACTCTTTCAACTGTCTCACCTGGAGGAAGCCACTGATATCTGTAATGAAGACGGCATGCTCAGATGCAACCAGTGTGGCATTCTTTAATTTTCTTTTCTGTTTTGTGTGTGTGGAATTCTTTATATCAGTGAAAAAACTGAAAGACCCACCTGTCATCAATCAGAGAACGCTCCAAGAAGGATATAAAAAAGAGATCCATCAATGTCTCTTAACTTTGAAACATGTAAATTTTCAAAATGTGCAGGTTAAAATATGCAACACAAATTCACTTGCTATGGCTGGGCCCAGTGGCCCGAAATCCCAGCACTCTGGAGGCAGTGGCGAGAATCTCCCTGGGCTCAGCCTGGGCAACTTGATAAGACCTCATCTGTATAATAAAATTTAAAAATTAGCCGGGCATGGTGGTGCACACTTGTAATTATGGTTACTTATAAGGCTGAAGTAGAAGGATCGTCTGAACCCAGTCGGTCAGGTTATGTTACTCTGTAAGTGTGCCACCATGTTCCAGCCTGGGAGATACAGGGAGACCACGACTCAAAAAAAAAATCACAAAAACTTCTAATAATGTATAAATACTGTTATACAGGACTCTCATGGACTCTTCCCACAGAACAGATAACAGTGGTTCCCCAAAGCTATGTGAAGAAGGGTGGCAGGAAAGGAAAGAGAATTTTTACTAGAAAACAAATGAATACATCATATCATGTTTATAAGAAGAGAAATAAAATGCTTACCAATAATTCGAACAACAAGATTATGGTTTTATTTTCTGTAAAGGCAAATAAGTGCTGCTCCTAGGTCTTAGAAAAATTATAATCATCCTCACCTAAAACACATGTAGCACAAGGGTCCCTGAAGGAACACCAGTGTCCCCTTGGTATGATTCTGTGAGAATAGTTTAATGAATCTCCTGCTGGTTGACATATTCTCTCATATATTAAAACAGACGATGGAATGAAACATCCCATGTCACTGAGGCTTCTGACTCAACTTTCCGTCCCAATCCTGGACATTAAGAGTTTGAACTCAGCCGAGCTCGGTGGCTCAGCCTGTAATCCCCCGCCTTTGTGAGGCTGAGGTGAGTGGATTACCTGAACCCGTGGATTTGAGACCCGCCTGGGCAGGTGAGACCTCGTCTCTACAATAAGTCAAATAAATTAGCCGGGCGTGGTAGCACACGCCTGTAATTCCGGCTACTCGGAAGGCTGAGGTGGAAGGATTGCTGGAGCCCAGAGGACGAGGCTGCGGTGGCTGGGAGCGGCCACTGCACTCCAACCTGGGCGACAGAATGAGACTAAACTCAAAAAAAAAAAAAAGAGTTTGAACTCAGAAGCACAATGCTTTCCTTATTCAGCTTCAAATGTATTATAAAATCAGGCTCAAAATATTTAGTCTCCTATTCTAGAATTTACCAGGTCCTTGTGCACACTGATGTATAACTTCCACATGCACACCCTCTAACCCTGATCTAGAGAGCTGACGTGGCCCCAAAACAACCCTGTTGCCCACCAGCTCTCATACCACAAGGCTCACACCCCATCTCCATCCACATCTCATATGAGCCCTTCCCAGGACAACACTCCGTGCCACTTCCTCACAAATTCACCTCATTAGGTCATGGAGAGATGGATTCTAGGTGGAGACAAGAGGGACTGAGGGAAAACGGGGTAAATGTGAGCAGACATGACAGTAAGGATGTTTCAGACCCAGAGGGGATGACCAACTCCAACGCCTGACATTTCACACAGGAAGGAGACAGGACAAACCACTGAGGAGGTCGCTTTACCTGAGAGAGAGCCATCCCTGATGGCTTTTCTTGACTCCTCCTCCGCTTCTGGGCTTCTTCATGCACCATGAGGCTTTAGACGTCAACCCTAGATGGCAAAAACACACTGTCCATTGCTCAGAATCAACACATCCCTGTGCTGTGCCTCAACCACACACAGCAAAGACCTCGCCCTGTGGAAACACGGTGTTTTGCCTCCCACTGCACCAGAGGAAACTCAGGGACAATGAACTCCTACAAGAAGAACACCAAGTGAATCTTTTGGCCCCTTTCTTCAGAACCTGCTCTCCTCCTGGAGGAGCCTACACTGGCTGCAGCAGTCGCGAGCTGGACTTGGCTGAGCTCCCTTCCAGGAGCCCCAGTCCTGATCAAATCCCATGAAGAGTACAGCCCTCCCGCCACCTCTCTGTGGATCACAGACTGACCTCAGTCCTCAGGGCCTTGGTGCTCTATGCTGGATACCAATTCGAATCAACATTAAACATTATGAAGCCTTAGTCCTACCTATTTGAATGAAAGTATCTGGTAAGAGAGCATAGGAGATATTTCTCCAAAACACCTCAGGACTCTAATGAGAAGCCAGGATTGAGCTCCACACAGGGGGGGCAGGCCCAGCCCACCTCCCATCTTCTGGTTCTGCTCTCACTTTGTGATCTTTTTGTCGCCAGGATTCAGACAGCGAGAGACAAGGGAAAAGAAAAAACACATGAAGAGCAGGCAATATGGACCAGAGGTCAGCCTGAGGGTGCGGCTGGAATGCCAACTTGGGACATGGGAAGGCACAGAAGCCTCCATGAGGAAGATGACATCGTAACAAAGACCTGGGGAAGGAAGGGAGTTTGCACCTGCAGTTGAGGGGCCAGAGGGTTCTAGGCAGAGGGACAACCCAATTGAAGGCCCTGAGGCAGGAGCAGCTTCCACGCCAGGAAGAGGGGAGAGGCCCGTGTGGCTGCAGCAGAACGAGAAGGACAGAAGAGGAGTTGAGGCTAGAGGGGTCCTGGGGCAGCAGATCAGGGAGGAACCAAAGCTCCAAACATTTTTCTTCCATACTTCAAAAAGATTTTGGAAATATGCAATTATTCTCCCATCAAATAAACATACATTTTACCATTATCTTATAAATAAGTTGACTCACTTACAAATGATGTCACACCTTCTATATCTTAAATACATGTGAACAGTTTCAGCAAGGCCTAGGAAGAGCAGGTTGGCCCTCATCTGAGATGTGCAGGGCTGCAGGGAACACGTTTGGAGTTCAGGAAGTCATTCCTGGACACGTGACGGGAGAGAGGACTGTTAGATATCCCAGCAGAGTTAAGGGGACAACTCGACACAGGTTCCACCGTTCAGGGGAGAGGTCTGCAGGGCAATTGGAGACATGCAGATTGGTTTAAAGCCAGGAGATGAGATGAAAAGGAAAGGCAGTGGGTGTAGACAGAGAGAGAAAAGGTTCAAGGACTGAGCCGGGGTCATGCCACATTCAGAGAACAGGTAGATCAGGAGACACCAGAAGAGGAAAGCAGGAAGTGACTAGGGAGGCAACAAGGAAATTAACACAAAGAGTTTCTAAATATTAATGGCATCTGCTCAAAGCCAAGATAATAGAGAAAGTGGTCAACCTGCCACACGCAGTTCGTAGGACAAAAAAATTAAATCTTGGATTTAGAAATGGGAGGACACTGGGAACTGAAAAAGAAAGTATCCGCGAGATGTTGGATGTGAAGGCTTGATTCAAGGAAAAATTCAAGGGTTCAAGCAAAAATTGTAGGCAAGAATTCAAAAAACATAAGAAGTTTAGAGCATTAAGCTTGGAGCACAGAAGTGGGTAACTTACTACAGAGAGAAAAGTAGTTAAGAGAATCTTTTGTTTTAAAGATGAAAAAATGTAAAAAAAAGAAAAAGTCAGTGTGTGTGTGTGCTTGTGTCTCTTTTGATGGACAATACCATCTAGGTACGCTGATCCAAATAATTCCCTGGATGTAAAATTGATGACGCCATGGAAGAAGTAGGCCATACGTCCTGAGACTGCAAGGGAGACTGGCACATGTGACACGATCATAGGGTCAGCAACAGCCAGGAGCAGGGACAGACCATTCCCAGTCCCTATGGAGATCACAGGCCCTGAGACAGGAGGGTGGACAGGTTGGAAAACATCTCTCCCCATTCACTGTGTGAGATGCGAAAAACCCAAACTGTTGTGACCACTCTCACACTCAACACAGAATGCTTCACTTATAGTGACCAAAAGATGTGTATGGTTTTACCCACCCTGACCAGTCCTCCAGGGACCTCCCAGCTGGGGGTCTTATAATTTAACTCAATTCTAACCCTATCTACAGGATAACATCAAACACAGGTTAAGAGCTCAGTTCCACAAGGCTGCCCCCTCACATGCAGGCGTCATTGCCACCTTCTGAAACACTTCATAAATATTGTGGTTCTCTTCACCCCCTCCTTGGATTCAACTAACTTGCTAGGACAGTTCTTACAACCAGTTCTTCTTTATCCTTTGTAATATACTTTATTAAAAATGGGTAAATTAAGTCAAGTGTTTCCCTGAGTTCTGTGAGCCATACAGTAAAATAAATTTAACCAGGGGAGGGGGTAAGGAAACTGTCATTTTTTTTTGGAGCCAGAGTCTTACTCTATCACCCAGGCTGGAGTGCAGTGGCATGCTCATGGCCACCACAACATCGACCTGCTGGGCTCAGACGATCTTTCCACTGCGGCCTTTTAAGTAGCCGGAACTACAGTCATGCGCCACCATGGCCGGCTAATATTTTGACTTATTGTAAAGAGGAGGTCTTGTCAAGTTGCCTGGGCTGGACTCAAATCCCTCGGCTCAGGCAATCCTTTGGCCTTGGCCTCCCAACAGGCTGGGATTACAAGCTTGAGCCACTGTTCAGCAGTAAGTGCCAATTTATACCAGCTGGTGAGAAGTTCAGAACCTGGCACTTTGGACTGGCATCTGCAGTGGGAGCCCTCAACGAGTAGAGTCTGGTGCTAACTCCAGGCAGTTTACGTCAGAATAGAGTTAAATTATAGCACATCTAGTCAGTGCCTAATGAAAAATGGGGTTGTTAGTGGGAAGAAGTCTTCATACACTTTGGTAACCTGTGGTGAAGTATGCTATGTTGAGTGTATACTGCTGCATTGATCCAGAGAGGAGGAAAAACATTTGGTTTTTTGGTACTGGAATAGCGTGACCCACAACTGAATGAGTCAAGTCACTGCCCTACAGCTGAATAAGGATTAAATGCAGAATTTACCCTCCAGCACTGAGAATTATAAAGGGCACCAGCTTTACAGAACAGAACTTTTGCTATTCACTCCAGCATCTGAATAATTTAAACCAAAGTATTTAAAATACAAGTATTAGATTATAAGGGCGAGATGTGGTGGCTCATGCCTGTAATCCCAGTGCTTTGCGAGGGCGTAGGGATTGCTGGAGGCCAGGAGTACAGCATGGGCAACACAGCAAGATCTCAACTCTGCAAAAAAGTTAAGTTAGCCAGGCACGATGGCATGCACCTGTAGTCCCAGCCTCCCTACTTGGGAGGCTAGTGCAGAAGGATCGCTTGAGTTGGAGTTTGAGGCTGCAATGAGCTACAACTGTATCACTGCTCTCCAGCCTTGGCCAAAGAGAAAGATCCTATCTCAAAAGAAAAAATTAGATTATATACACACAAATCAACATATCACGATGTACTCATTCACGTCCAATCACGCCACCACTCATCTGGACCAGGGTCCCCTCTTCATTACTGTTTCCCTCCCTCTCTCTGTCCTTATCTCTCATTCCCACCTTCTCTCTCCAGCTGTTTTTCTTTTGTTTTCCCCTGGGCTTCTGCCCCTCATTTTGTGTCCCTCTCCTCTCCTGGTCTTCCTCCCCTTCTTCCCTCTATTTGCTTCCACCTGTTCTGCCCTATGCTTGTAACTGGCATCTCTTGTTCCTTTCTCCCCAGTCTTTTGATTCTTTCAATCTCCACACATTTCTGCCTCTTTCCTCCCCCATCTCTGCTCTCCCCATAAACTCCCTCTCCCTGATACACTCCCTGGCCCTCACTCTGGCATCCCCAATTCCGAGCTTCCTTCCTGCTGTCTCCCTCTGCTCTCATCACCAATTGTCCTATCCTGTCCCAGCACCAGGCTGCTGTCTGCTGTAGCTCTAAATCATTCCTCCCCTCGCCTCACTCTCTGTCTGAGGTGCTCCCCTTTGCAGCCCCTCTCCCTATCTTGTTATCTTTCAGCTCTCTGGAGAGTGAGTTTTCTCTAAGTTTCCCGAGTGGCTTTTCTCCCCGTTTCTTTTTCGTCCCTCCCCCCATTTACTGTCTCTCTGCAAACCCCTCACCTATATGTTCTGCCATTTGTTTATGACGCCACTCATTCTTCTTGACTCAGTTTTTACATTTCCTCTCAGTTACTCGCTGTCTGTCTCCTGATACCCCTTCCCCATACATTTACAGGGAGGGGGATGGAATAAGATTCCCACCTCTTGGAAAAGATCATTTCCCAGTGGGATGGGGTTTGGGACAAAAGAACACTGGACATAAAGAAACAGGCTCCTCATCTCCCTCAACGAGGGGGCAGGCCGGGAAAGCAGTGACTGCGAAGGGGAGGCCTGGGGGAAGAAGGACCAGGCCCCGTGAGCGCAGGAGGGGGCGATGACGCCTTAGGACAAGGGGCGGAGGCGCGGCCTGTTGCGCATCTGGCCTGCAGGCTCCGGGGCCAGGAGGGGAGAGGTTCCATGAAAGCACGAACCCACGTGGCAGGAGAGGAATTTACAGGGCGGGCTGGGAGATCAGTCAAGGTTGTAAGCAGGATACGAAGTAAAAGGAGGTGTCGGCACGACCCGAAGGCAGAAGGGTCTCAGGCAGGACCAGCCTGCGTGTCCTGAATCCAAAAGGGAGGGATCTCGGGCTCTCTCGGCAACGTGTGAAAGTACTTCGGGTGGAGGGAGCGGTGCGGGGATTCTAAGGGCTGAGGGAACCTCCGGACATCGGGTAGGGGGGCGCTGGGGCCTCCGAAGCGCAGGTTTAACCTAGGTGGAGGGACACTCACGATCCTCGCCGCGGCCTTGACTCCAAGCGACGGGCTGCCGGTCTGGAGGAAAGTGCGCGTGCGCGGGGGTTGGAGCGGGGACGGCCTGGGGGCGGGGCCTGTGTGGGGCTCCAAGGCCAAGGCGGGGCCTGGCGGGAAAGGCCAGGCGTGGGGCGGGAACGGGGCGGAGAAGGGGTGCGGCCCCGGCGGGACTTTACGGTACAGGGGGCCGTGGGAGGAACCAGGTCGGGGAAGGGCGGTTCCTTGGCCCGTAGGGGCGGGGCGCGAGCCTCCTACGCCTCGCTTTCAGAGCTTCTTGGTTTTGTGGGTGGTGGAGGAGGCAAGACCTGCCTTTGAGGCTGGAGTAAGTCAGCACTCTGGAAAGTGGGGTCTCTCTAGGGCGGTCATTGTGGGTCTGTTTGTGGATCCAAGAATACCCCTGCAATTCGAATTCATCAGTTTAATGAAACTACCCCTGGAATTGCCTGTGAAGAGGACGCAACCTGGAATGTGAGATGCAAAACTCAGCGCGGCGGATTGTGCAATGTTAGGCTGAAGCCAAGCAGAGCATTCCTTCCACTTCTGCTCCCTGTTCACTCCGGAAGAAGAGCGTCCACCGTGTGCTCCGTTCCACAGAATTTCATAGGGAAAAATACCCGCGCTGTGGGCGTTAGGGGTGGGGTTAGTTAGGTCAACAACTGTTGTTTTAAAAAACAAATTAACTCTTAACGAATCGAAATGAATTGCGTCATTCTTCCCTCCTCTTGTTATTCCATCCCACACTTAACTTCACCTCGAACAACTTTTGTGATCAATTTCATCGTCATAGTAATATACTTGTGTCAATAACTTCTAAATATCATGTAATTTCCAATAGATTTGTTTCATATGCATTCTGAAAAAGTAATTAGAAAAAGTATTTTTTACTAAAAAATTGTAATTATGTGAATCATTTGCTTTGCTAACTATTTTTGAATGTTCTGTCTACTGTAAGAAAGCCTGTAAACTAGTGTTCAGGAGACATTTGCATTTATTTTCATTTTATGAATAATTAATGTCCTGATAGTTCTAAAGGTAGTTTGTGGAGGGGATAGTTTCTTTCACAAGAACCCTTAAGAAAGGAAAACTGGATATAGAAATGTTAAATAATAGTTTCTACTGGCAATAATATGGATCTGCAAATTCACATCTCTTATGAATTGTTTTTCTCTCACATCCCTGCATGTGGAAGATTTCATCCATGGAGAAATGATGACAGCGTGAAACATTTGTGTCATGGATCGGGAGATTGGCCTCGGGATAGCATGGCAAGCAAATGGTTTTGTCATTTCAAAGAGGGCCACTAGGACCTCAATGGTTCTCCACGTTTGGGAAGACCATTGGGCTTTGATGACGACCATTTAAATGCTTTAATTCACATCAGTCAGCTGGAAAATTGGCAAATGTGATGAACTATGACCAGTTATATGTGACATTTGCAGACCATGGACAAGTTTAAAACACTATGAACTTATGCATCAACCCACTATATCGATGTCACTTTGCAGAGGGATGGAGGTTGGAGTAAAAGTCTTACTCTGTGGCCCAGGCAGGAGACTTTGTGTCATGTCAGTGATCATGCCTAAAATCTTGTTAACATCAATCTTGAGTCATGCTAAAAGTGCACATAGGCTTCCTAACTCTATCTTGTATCACCTTATTGTTTTCATTGAACTGACTTAGAGTGAGACACCATTTTTATGTTTATAAAGAAACGAGTTTGTGTCTGCCATTGTCTTTTTTTTTTTAAATTGGAGTCTCACTGTCACTCAGGCTGGAGTGCAATGGCATGCTCATGGCCACTGCAGCCTCGACCGGCTGAGCTCAGATGATCCTTCTACCTCAACCATTCAAGTAGCTGGAACTGCAGGTGTGCATCACAATGCATTGCCCACCTTTGATTGAGTATAGAGACGAGGTCTTGCCATGTTGCTCAGGTTGGTCTTGAACCCCTGAATTCAGGCAATGCTCCCGCCTCTGCCCCTCAAAATGCCGGTATTAGGCGTGAGCCATTGTGCCCAGATTTCCTTCAATTTTAATGCCTAATGGTGGTTTATTATCTGTTATGAAATATTCTACTGAAGTAGCATAAGACTATGTTGATCAAATAATGTTAATTCATAGTTATACAAATTTAATTGTTTTAGTAAACATATGACACTTTAAAAAAAAAGTAGCAAACTGTGATTCCAATAGTTAAAGTAAACCCTACTTAAAAAACAACAGCCTGGAATTCTGATTATTTTGAATAAACTCTCCACCCTCACTGTTCTCTCTACAATTTCAAGACAAGACTGAATTTTTAAAAAAAAATTTGCTGTACAACTTCTATTCCCTTTTAATGGAGAAGTGGCCACCATTTTTTCTGCAGTAATTCTGCCATACAATCAGTCCCTAATAACTTATTACTTACTCTACTCCAGTAAAAATCACGTATCCTAAGGTCTTGTTTGGCTCTATTTCATGGTCTGATAGTGTAGAATTTCTTTCCATAACCCACAGTGCCCTTCTGTCAGTAAGCGATAATATCATAGTCTTCCATTATTTCTGCTACACCGAAAGCTCTCTGATTGAAGCAATATTTAATTTAAAACACAAGAGTCCTCCTTCAGGAACGTGAATGGAAAAACAAGCAGAAACCCAAATAAAAAGCACAATTCTATTCAGAATAGCCACACAAAAATGAAATACCTTGGCATCTTCCTAACCAGAGACATGAAAGACCTTTACAATGAAAACTATAAAACACTGCTCAAAGAAACCAAGATGACACAAACAAGTGGAAAAATATCCCAGGCTCATGGATTGGAAGAATCAACATTGCGAAAATGTCCATCCTACCTAAGGCAATCTACAGATTTAATGCAATACCCATCAAATGACCAGCAACATTCTTCTCAGACCTAGAAAACACAATAAAGGAATTCGGAAATACAAACGACCAAGAACAGCCGGAACAATCCTCAGCAAAAAAAAAAACAAAACAAAGCAGGCAGTATCACATTACCAGACTTCAAACTTTACTATAAAGCTACAATAATCAAAACAGCTTGGTATTGGTACGAAAACAGGCATACAGAACAATGGAATACAATTGAGATTCCAGAAGCTAAACCTCAATTTCTCAACCAACTCATCTTCGACAAAGGCTCCACCACCTACCACTGGGGAGAGGAGAACGTACTCAATAAATGGTGCTGGGAAAACTGGCTGAACACATGCAGAAGACTCAAACAAGACCCCTACTTGTCCCCATACACAAAAATCAACTCTAAATGGATCAGAGACCTAAATGTAAAACCTCAAACCAGAAGAACCTTAGAATATGCAGGACATACCATTATGGAAATTGGAACTGGCATTCAATTCCTGAACAAAACCTGAAACCCATAGGCCATAAGAGATAAGATAGATAAGTGGGACCTCATTAGCTGACAAGCTTCTGTAAAGTGAAAAAAACCATCAAGAGAGCAGGGAGACAGCCCACAGACTGGGAAAAAGTATTTGCCAACTCCAGGTGTGACAAAGCCTTAATATCTTGGATCTACAAGGAACTCAAATGTGCTGAGAGTACAAAACAAACAACCCCATTATAAAGTGGGCAAAAAATATGAACAGACACTTCTCAAAGGAAGATATCTGAGCAGCCAACAGACACATGAAGAAATGTTCAACCTCACTAATCATCAAGGAGATGCAAATCAAAACCACACTGAGATACCACCTAACTCCACTCAGAATGGCCATTAGCAATAACTCAAAAAATAACAGTTGCTGGAAAGGGTGTGATGAAAGGGAACACTTCTACACTTTTCGGGGGAGTGCAAACTAG